TATTATTATTATTATTATTATTATTATACGAAAATATTTATGTTTACATATTCTTATTGTTTTTAGTGACCTGGTTAAAATGTGATTTTTTTTTTTGTGCTGTAGTGCAGTAGGTTTAGGTTAACTGTAGAGGACAGTTAATTTGAATAGTTTTTTATAGAGGTATTGAGGACCAGTAAAATTTCATTTTATTAAATTTGTGCACAACAATTCTCTGTGTTTTACGGCGATTCTTTTGTATATTTGATTTTTTTCGATAGATGGCGCCAGTGTGCCGGAAATAACAAAGGAAAAACGACGAAGAAGACGACATAAGCTCCGTTAGCTTCTTTGCTACTATTTGGAAGTAGCAATACAATTTCAGGTACTGTGAAAAGAAAACATACTTTTTGTTGCACGTATAAATATTTATATAAATACGCTTGAGCTGGATGTGACTTGTGTAAGACAGACTTACGTTAAAATATGTGTATGTAGACCGAACTGTTCTGTGTTTTGATTCGTGCTGAAGGAAGCTAGGCTTCAGAGTTGTGTTTTTTTGTCGAAGGCCCAAACTGTTGTCATTCTAAGTTTCATTTTAATGTGTTTTTTTAGTACGAAGAGCTAGCTATTAGTAAGCCGAAATGTTTTATGACTGATTCTGAAACCATCCAGCCAGTTGGTAACACTGCCTCCCTGTCCTTTTTCAGGATATAATCATGAGTTATGCAGATAAGCCAGAGGATATAACAAAGGATGAGTGGATGGATAAACTCAACAATGTCCATATTCAGAGAACTGATATGAATAGGCTGATAATGAACTACCTGGTCACAGGTGAGGTACCAGTCTTATTATCAAATGCACATAAAATAAATATTATATTTTTAAATATTTTCAGTTTGTTGGTATAAACATTAAACTATCAATCTGTATTTTACAGAAGGATTCAAAGAGGCAGCAGAAAAGTTCAGAATGGAGTCTGGAATAGAACCCAGCGTGGACCTGGACTCTTTAGATGAACGGATTAAGATTAGAGAGTTAATATTAAAAGGTCAAATCCAGGATGCCATTGCTCTTATCAATAGTCTGCACCCGGAACTGCTAGACACAAACCGTTATCTATACTTTCACTTACAGGTAATGTAAATCACAAAGCTACTATCCAAGTATTTTGTCTCTAGTCTGCTATTTCTACTACATGACTCCTTCCTTTTAGTTAATTCAGCATTTTGCACCTATGTTTTTGCAACATGCAGCAGCAGCATCTAATTGAGCTGATTCGTCTTCGGGAGACAGAGGCTGCCCTTGAATTTGCCCAGTCTCAATTAGCAGAGCAGGGAGAGGAGAGCCGAGAATGTCTGACTGAGATGGAGAGGACACTGGCTTTGTTGGCGTTTGACAACCCAGAAGAGTCTCCCTTTGGAGATCTGCTCAATATTATGCAGAGGCAAAAGGTATAATCAACACACATTATAATCGGCCATGTCATACATCACTAATCATGTTTTTTCCTGTGTTTAAATTGCTATTTTACTTGAAAGTGTCATTTACAGTTTTTTCAGGTCTTATCTTCCTTGTTGCTTTCATGGTAAAATCATCTGGTTCTTTTTTTTTTCTTTACAAAAATATTCCTTAAAGCTTTATACATAGAAGTTATTATATAATGACAAATCACAAGACACCCTAAAATCACGCTAAGAGTGTTCTTGTACATTTATTGTTTTTATTATCAAATTTAAGGCAAAAAACACAGCACAGATAAGGTATTTACGAGCATAGTTAATTGTATGTGTATGGATAAAAGTATATATAAGAATAACAATTTAAAATTACACAGGCCTGAACAATATTGCACTCTGTCAATTGGTCAAATATGCCTTCAAAATATTAACAGGTTTAATATTCCAAATTATTTTTTCTCTATGAGTGGGCAACATGCATTTTGTTTAAGTCTTAAGTTTAAGTTTTATTTCAAAAGTGAACGTCCCCATTGTAATGTTGAATGCATCGCATTCATATGAAAGCATTAAGTGTGTTTACTTTCTCTTCCAGGTCTGGAGTGAGGTTAACCAGTGTGTATTAGACTACGAAAACAGAGAATCTACTCCAAAGCTGGCCAAGCTGCTGAAACTACTGCTGTGGGCTCAGAACGAACTTGACCAAAAGAAAGTCAAGTATCCCAAAATGACTGACCTCAGTAAGGGAACAATCGAAGATCCCAAATAAAGACTCAGCATAAATAAATATCATATCCTTACAGAATGGACACAATTCTTAACCTATTTATAACCTAGGAAGCGGAATCAGTTATAGTACAACCTTTTCTTTTTGTAAGGGTTGCCTTTTGATACTTTATTAATTCTAAACTGGACTGATTACAGTTTAAGGTTACTTTGTATTAAATAACAACCAAACTGGTTATCTTATTTTTAATTTTAATTTGCATATTTGTCTATGTAAAGCCAAAATGTTTCATTTACTCTAGTTTTTCTGTCTGTTGGCAGGGAATGTTGGTAGTGGAGGTTGTAAATAAAGCCTAAATTAGGCTGCTTGTCAGTGTGTGTGCATGTGTGCCCACTTCAAGGATGCAGGGATTCATCAGGATAAAGTGTTGGCTTAATGTGCAGTGCTTCAAATATGTATATTTTTTTGTTTTAAGGAACACATTTCAACCTCTGGGATTTCATCTGGTACTTACATGTGAAAAGAACAGTCAGAATTCATTACCTGGGAGATGTTTAAGGCTACTGCGATTCTGAAAGTAAACCTTATTTCGTCACCACATAATATTTAGACACTCACTAGAAATGTTGGAAAAAATACACAAGCAAATAAAAACACCTAAGCTCTAAGTTATGATAGTTATTTCATTTGAATTGAAATTACTGGAGTATTAATATTTTTTCATAGCATACTGTGACTATGTAAGCCTGAGGAACATGATGTTTTAAGAGGTGAGTAAATGCAAACATGGAGACACTATAATGCTATTACATTTAAATGATTTGCATTTTGAGCGACTTAGCTAAATTTTTGTTGTGCTCTTTTCCTGCTATATTATTTTGCAATAAAAAAATATTTCTCGAACCTGACTGAAGTTTCATGAAATCTGTTTCTGTACCTTGAAATTTTACATCCAGTTTATGTTTCAAAGGAGTAATCTGCGGTTGGTGGGTGTGTTGGCCTAGTGGTTAGAGCAGTGAACTTTTGCTCTGAGAAGGTTGCACATACACGGTACGATCTCCACAGCCTTCACTCTAGGCCCCTGAGCAAGATCCTTAAAACCTGATTGGTCCTCAGGCACCGCACAGTGGCAGTCTACTGCTCCCTAAGGGGATCGTTCAAATGCAGAGGTGAATTTCTCCATTGTGAGATCAATGAAGTTCAATTATTTTTTAAATGGGGTTAGTCGGATGTAAAGCTGGTAATACTTTCTTAAACTGCTAAAAAGCCTCTTTTTACAAACTTTGTTGAATGCATGGTTAGTGAAAAGAGCAAGAACTCAGCTGTAATTTGGCCACTAGATCCTACTCATTCCCTTCTTGTATAGAGCTTTACTATTGCATCTCATACTAGATGACTCAAGCTAGTAAGTAGCTCAAGCTAGTAAGCAGCTTTGTCACATAAAATCCAACACTTGGCCACTTTAACTCAGGAGTCACATAAATATTTTTGTTTATTGCTTCTAAACATTGTTGCAATTCAAAGGGCCATAGAAGGCATCAGGTGCTGGGCTGTGGACGGGACAGTGCAAGGAGGGACAGCCAGAAAATGAGAAAAGTGGCCAAGCAATAACCAATGTGGCCAAAAGTGGATAGGCACCAGAACCTAAGGGTCAAGTCTTTTACTTTTTAACAGCACTAGCAGCTCATTTTTCTCAACAGTAGGCTGACAGAAAAGCAGATATGACAGAGGGGGAGAGACATGCAACAAGGGACACACAAGGTCAGATTCGAACCCGGGTCGCTCGCGTTGAGGAATGAGGCCTCCATATATGGGCTGTGCGCACTAACCACTGCTCCACCTGCACACCCCATCAAGCCAAAGTTAAGACAAACTATACTTTCCTACAGCCTTTGCTAACAAATAGATGCATATATTTAAACATACGTGCTTTCTAGATATGTACTTACTTACTTTTATCAACAATCATTCTGGATAAAATTGTGTTTACTTCACTGAAGACTCCTAGATGACTTGCAGAGACACATCATTTTCTCTTTACCCCATATAACACAAAATCTAGTCATGAAAAGAGCAGGAATTCTGTATTTATCATCTTTAATCTTTGTATATTGATGTGTATAAATAACCACAGTGTTTTGTTGTCAAGTAATTATGAATATATGAAAAAATAGAAAGTAATACATGAAAGATTAAAAGGAACCTGAGAGTATTACTGCTTCCACCATCTGTATTAGAGGGGGAAAAAAAGGTAGGGGTGGCCAATGATTGGGTAAGGGTCAATGGCGTAAATATCGGTAAGCAGAGACTGCAGTTGCTTAGGGGCCCCGTCACTGACATCTAGTTGGCCCCCTTACGCAATGGTGTACTAGGACGTCTCTTTGCACATGCAATGGTGCGAAAAATTCATATTTAGACTATATTTTGTTAAATAGCCACAGATTTACTTTCTGTCTTAGTCGCTGGTAATTTCAAATGCAAACCTTTTCAAAGTGGAAAAAAGTCATAATTCCTCATTCATCAGAGCCGATGATGCTTCAAACATTGATAAACAGCATCTAGTGTGTGTAGCGCTTATAAATTTGTACAAATGTAGCAAGAAATTCTGCTTTTCTCTTTAAACAAAATACACCCCGATTTTCACATCAAGCATAAAAATTTGAGCATGCATATTTTTTGCATAGGACCAACAACATCAGTCTATTAGTGTCCCTACCCAGACATCCCAAGTTCCAAAAACTAATTTCAAGGAGATGCAATAAGGTATCGGACATTTAAGGCGATAGCTTCAGTGGAATTGAGAGAGGATCCCAGTTTTCATCTGCTAAATGTTTTTTTTTTTTTTTTTCACAACAAATTAAAAAAAAGCTATACCCGGTAATTTTTACAGATGAATTTAACAGTTTTTCTTGAGTTCTAATTCAAATTTCATAGAAAACGGTAGTTTTAACTTAAAGCTACAGTGTGTAATAATTACAGGGATAGACAGTCAGAAATGTAATATATTATACATAACTATGTTATTTATCATCATCTACGAGCTCAGCCTCTTAACCTTAATATTTGCGTTGCCTTAGAATTCGTTATTTATAATTACATAGGAGCGGGTCTCGCACCCATGGAGGCAGACATCTTTGCGCTACGGCAGCGCAGAGCCAACAAACTAGCGATTGCGAGATCACCCATTACGCTCGAAAGTAACTACGGCAAGTTGAGAGAGATGAACTGAGACGGTACTGAACAATAGATACTAAAAATATACTAATAAATACTATCTGTAAAATTATCTATGTAAACAAACCTCATCACTTGAGAAGGTAGGTGATGTGGACATCGTGGAAGACATTTGTCCCGTAACGCTCGCCGTACTGTTGGGGGGGAGAAGCGGTGGGGGGGAGATGTTCATGTTGCTGCAGTCTGCAGTCTGAACGTTGGATGTCGCTGAAAATTACACACTGTAGCTTTAAATGAATTAAAAATTATGTAAAATTCCTAAATTATAAATATTTATTGACCTAATAAGTAAATTAATTTTTTTAACCTAAATGAAAAGAAATTTCACTTCATGCGGCTCTCTTAATATATTTGAATCTCTTGCCCTGATTATTCATTTCATGCTTTTCTGTGCCCCCATGAAAACATGCTGCCCCCCTCCTGGGCGCCTGGTAAATTTGGTCTAGGTCTGCCACTGTTCCTCACCTTCACTAGAGGTGGATATACTTTAGTGTATTCTGCTGTAAAATTAGTCCTATATTTTTGTTTTTACTCGAGGATTCAACCTCTGCCGTTTCACAGAATGCACAGCTTTGAGTGGTAACTGGGTGACTGCCAGGGAGTAACCAGAAACTTATCAGACTGATCCAATTGGCTCTATGACAACCAGTCACCTGGAACGCTCGTTGAACAGAGCATCACTTTGGACAGATGCGCTGCACAGGTTTCACAAGCAACCTCCTCCCCACACCCTGCGCTCTCTTGTTGTTCCTGCGCAATCCAAGTAGTTTTAATCCGCACATGATGCACTATTATTGTACTACCTGTTTGCTCTCACCCTCAGCAAAAAGTAGTTTATTCAAGTATAATAAAAGTGCACTAATTTCATACTTAAAATCAGGCAGTGCACTTAGAGTTTACTTATTCTAAACTATATTCCATATACATAAAAATTGTATAATCAAGTGTAATTGACTTACACTGAGAAGTATAAAAAATGTTAACTAAAGTATACTTTAAGTTAAGGTAAGTAAACTTAAAAATGTCCCAATTTAGTATACTTCAAGTATACTTTTTGCTCATATTAAAATAACCCCACCTCTCATAGTTAAAAATCCCAAAACTTCCGGGAGACTTTGGATTTCTGCCTACCAAAGTTGAAACCAAACCTACGCCCTTGAGGCCTATTGTTGTGTCATTACATTGGTAAGGATGGCCACCCTTGGCCCCCCATCTAGCTCCGCCCCTGCGGAGAGGGGCCGTTTTCTTTGTTATTTTAATGCATTGTCACGTTTGGTGAGGCCAATGGAGGGTAAAACACCTATTTTTTAGTTCAAATGAAACTGGGGCGGTGGGAGAAAACAGGAAAGGACCTGACTGCGCAGTTTAGGGCCAACATGTGCATCACTTCCTGATCAACCCTATAGAGAACTGCGAGGCTGGCAGGAGGAGGAGGCTGGAGAGAAAAAGTGACACGTGGATTATTCCTCCTCAGGGCATCAAGAGAAACACACTCCTTCCTCTAGCCCAGTTCCGCAACTTTGGTGTCTGGCATCGAAACCTCGTGGATGTGACAGCGTCTTTTCCTCCCCTACATGTTGGCTTTATTTAACTCACTGACAGATCAGAAATTGGGGGAAAGTGAACAGCGGGAGCAGTTGACAGGAGGCTGCCGTCACTTCGCGTTGAATGGCAGTTATTCAAAAACATGGCAAGAGCTCTGGTTCAGATTTGTTCTGCCACAAGGAAAACCTCCCGCCTGACAAGATCGGAGTCCCGGGATGTCACAAGAAGCGGCCCGAAGGACACAACTGGTCCAGGTAACATTTAAAACACTCGCAGAGACGTTTGTTCAGCTGTCATGGGGGTTTGACGTCATCGCGTAGCAACTCAGCAGGCAGCTGGAGTTCCCAGGAGGGTTTCTCAGGCAGCAGATCTAATGTGAACAAAAATAATGATCATAAAAACAGCTTTATAAAGTACAGCACAGTCTATCAATCCTGCCTTGTGTTCCTCTGTAATCTGTTTAACTTTAAATAATAGTTTCATCAAAAACACGGTTTTCCATCCAAACAAATGAAACCCATATTGGAAAAAGAAAATGTCATTGCTATCATGATTATGGTTCTGAGCAAAAAGAACCAAAAATAAAGTTTTCAATAAACAATTTGGGAACATAACTCACTTGATGGCCATTAAGCAGACTGTAGATGAGAATATGCACGGGAAAGGTTATAGCTGATGCTGTTTTAATGCTCAGTCATGGAAAGTTAAGTGGAAGGAGGAAATATGAAACAAAAATTGATGAGTTGATCGTGAACCAAATCAAGTTGGTAATACATATTTGGCTGATTTAGCCTATGAGGAGTGGATCAGTTCATTAAGTCTCTCTCAGAAGGGTTCAGGACACAGACAACTCCTGATCCAGACATACCATCAGAAGCCCTCTTTCCCGAGTCGAGGAGAAAAAAAGTGGCTGAGCTATTACTCAGTCCTCTTTCAGATTAAAATTCCTTTAACAGCACACTTGGAAATAGAAATCCCAGAGGAAGAGAGGAGAGGATGTTCATTGTGACGTTTCCCCAGTCTGTTATGATTACAAATAGGGTTGGGTAAAAAAATTGAGTTTGGATCGATTCCTTTAGATTTTTGCAAAACCAATGTGCAGGGAATGAGATAGATTAGTTTTATAGTGACGCGTGTGACGTTCACATTCAAATGAGCATATTTGTGCAAATGCAAACCCAAGTAACATGCCGCTCAGCAAGCTGTCCCAACTGAAGTCTGGAACCATTTTGGATTTAAAACAGCTAAAGGTAATGTGCTGTATATGTGACATTAAGGTGACTTCCCTCTATATTGATAATGAGTGGCGCCTCGCATCTCGTGCTACAGACCACCAAGATTACATCAAGCCAGAGAGCCTCAAATATAGCCAATAGGTTGCCTGAAGAAATTAACAAATGGAGGCTGACCAGCAAACACCCTGTAGTTGTTACAGACAACGCTGCAAATATGGTTTGTGCAGTGGAGATAATGCAGCTCATGCATGTCTGCTGTGTCACGTCCTCTTGCTTGTGTGAGACTTCACTTTTTTCACTTTCCACAAACAAGTTTGCACTTTTGAGACAGTTTTGTTGACATCTCAAGTTTAAACTGTCAGATTTACAAGTTTGCTCTTTGTGTTTGATGTGACAGGAAACAATTAAATACATGAGTATTTTGAAACACAGTTGAACCACTTTCATTATTGTAAAAGCAGATCGAAAACAGAAATTAATCGATTTAGAACTGTATTAAACAAAATCGAATCGATTCAGGACTTTGGCGAAAATACCCAGCCCTAATTACAAACGGCCGAAATGAGTTTCCGTTGCAGGGTGGCTGGGCGCACCCTTCTAGATCGGGTGAGGAGCTCAGTTACCCGGGAGGAGCCCAGAGTAGAGTCGTTGCTCCTCCACATGGAAAGGAGCCAGCTGAGGTTGCTGGGGCATCTATTCCGGATGCCTCCTGGTCGCATGTCCTGGACAAGCTCTGCCTAGACTGCTCCCTCCATGACCCTGCCCCAGATAAAGTGGAAGTTGATGGATGGATTATGATTAGAGGAACCATGTTAATTGTTGGTGTTTTCTAAACTGTTTCTTATCAAGACTTAAAGCATTTTTTTGCTTATCTCTGCTGAGAAGCTTTATGGAGGTGCTGACTTCCTTTTCCAGCAGCACTTTGCTAATGTGTCAATGATGCAATATCAGCTTGTGTTTTTCTGCATTTTAGGATGTTTAACAGAGTTTTTTTTATGGTTTTGGGTAAAGCGTGTTTTGCTTCTTACAATGACAAACATCACAAACTGGCATCTAATTGTTATACTACTCATCTTTTCCTCATAACAAATAATTAACGAATGTTTTTAAGCACCTAAATCCCTATTGTTTTCTAAAGGGGGATTCACAATCTCCCTTTCTTTAAAAATACAGCGCCTACTAACTTGCTTTAAGTCTAGAGTTTCCCAGCAGGTGTTTTACAGTCCATTTATCACTTGATAAATGCTTCCTAATGTTTCAACAGGCCAGTGGCGAGGGTATGGACAGCGGTGCTGCTGCTTGGAACATGCCTCCTTTACTGTGCCCGTGTGGCAATGCCCATCTGTGCTGTCAGCATGGCAGAGAAGTTCCACTGGACCAAGAAAGAGTCTGGCATGGTGCTGGGCAGCTTCTTCTGGGGATACTGCTTCACCCAAGTGTTCGGTGGCTACGTCAGTGACCGGTGAGCATATGTCCTACTTTGTCCTTTTCTATGTAGCAACAATACAAAGCCAACGTATTTAAAAAAAACAAATTAAGATAAGATTATATATCATTAGCTGGATTGGATATAGAAAATCCCTGTAATTATTACACATTTTACCTTTAAGGAAAGAGTACATTCTGTTAAGAAGTAAGAGAAATTACAAAAACAATAATGTCAGCAATGACTGAAAAAGACCAAGAAAACAATCAAGTTTTCAGTGCTGTGTAAGAAAAACGCCGCTAAACATAGCAGCTGGATTTCTTTTTTCTTTAGAAAGGAAAGACAAAGCAAGTTAAAAAAAAAACGATTAAATGATGATAATATATAATAATAAATAAATTGTGTAGTCAATACGTATGCGCAAGACGTCAGAGTTGCATACACCTATGCTAGTCCTCTTTATCCCTTTAGTTTATCCCTGTACAGTATATCCCTTTAGTTTTTCAAACTACCTTGACGGATGTGTATCCATTTAGTCATGTACAAAAAAATTATTTAAGGTCAGATTGCCATACGCTTCAAAAAACACCAAAAAGTAAGTAATTAAATAGTTTTTTGTACATGAATAAAGGGATACATGCCTGTTGAGGTAGTTTAAAGTGTATTTTATAAACAGGTATTGACAATGGGTATGCTGATCTGACAGAACACCGGCTGCAGTTTCTATGGGAAAAAAACTGTGTTCACACCAACAGAATTGGAGAAAAATTGGAGTTTACTGAAGAAAATAGCATCAGGAGGAACAACGCTAAGTAAATCCTCCAGCAACCTTATTCTGTACCTTACATGAGGTGTAATTCTGTTTGGTAAGGCTCAGACTGTCTTCTAAAACATACCGGATCAATGACAGCACAGGAGGCGATGCTGGGGTCAGAATAAAACAAAATATAACAACAGTCCTTTTCAGGACCCAGAATAGTCCAGATTGCAGCCCAAATTGTATGATGTTAAATGATGACATAATGTCCCCAATGAGCTGGATATATCTTTAAATTTTGACAGCTGGCTGCTGTTTCTTTTTTTTTTTTTTTTAAAGCGTTGTTACAGAACACTTATAGTTGTCATTAGTTCTACCTTGGAAAACAGGCTCAAGCAGCTCCTTCGCAGACTGATACGCTGCGTTTATGCCATAAGCCAGTGTAGCTGACCAAACTAGTTAATAGGTGTATGGTGAAATGTTACAGGCTGTGGTCAGCCACCCTATAAAAGGGACACAAACAAGGGCAGCAGTGTTTACTTAGCCTGCACTAAATTGGTTACTAAATTATCAGCTTAAATGATTGCAAACAGTAGTAATATGAGATAAGAGCTCACAGAGACAGCCTGTATACAAAAACCATAAGATTAAAAATGGAATTCTAATGCTTCGTTGTTAACAAAAACAAAAGAATAAAAAATAGAATTTCATCTATCTTAGAAGAACACCGTATAATACCAAATATATTGATAAAGGACTATAAACTTTAAAAACCCAACAGGATCAAATTGCTATACACATTCATAAGATACACATGATCAATCATAAAACAATAAATAAAGTGGTATATTGCAGTAGCAGTAAAAAGAAAAGAAAAAAAAGGAAAGAAACAAAGTTAACATATCAGCCAAAGCAAAAAAATGGGTCCAGATAGATAGATTGATAGATAAATAGATAGATAACTGATTTAGCAAAAACTTGACTTTGAAACCCCTGGGAACCCAGAAAAACAAGTTTTGTACCATTGGGTCTTTTCAATATTATCTGAATTGGTTTTAATTGCCATACTTTAAAATGTTTTGTCTAGTTTAACACTACATATAACTCTGGGTGAACTTTACTTGATACTGAACTATATAAACCTTACATTTTATTTACCTGTTTCCCACATAATTCAAATATTCTTCTCTGATTGCTCTGTTGAGGCAGAACGCCTGCCATACATTACAAGAGAGACAAGAGGGTGGCAGACATGTTCATCTCTAGGTCAATCATAGATATTGGTAAAAGCCTAGTCATTGAAAAAATATTTCTCCTTCTCAGGAACATTCATTGATGAAAAATGTAGCATTACAGGTTATCCAGGTTTCAAGTATTTGAAGTCACATCTATCTCTTTATCTCTGTGTCCCTCCAGTGTGGGAGGTGAGAAAGTCCTCCTGCTCTCGGCAGCAGCCTGGGGGTCTATGACAGCTTTCACTCCCATCCTCGCCCGCCTCTGCTCTCAGCCAATCTTCTCCATGACACTGGCACGGTTCCTCATGGGCCTGTTACAAGGTGAGACTGACGGAGCACAGGATGACTCATCGCTCCAGAATTAGTCAGTGTGGTGAAAGATCCAGGCTTTGGGAGGACTGGTCCCTTTCAATAAAAACACAAACAGAGCTACAGGTGACTTGATGAATTTGAAACCATTTGACATTTTAAGAGTAATCACAGCTACAATCTACAAATCTTTGTCAGATGTTTTTTTTTTCTTTTTATCCACATAAAAATAGTTTGGGTCAGTGTGGAATTATTTCTGCTGTGAAACCATAAATTTTTATGTGCTTTATAAAATAAGAAGGATAACAACCTCTTTTTATTCTGTCTGACATGAATTAAATAAGAATCTAATTTTCCTTTTAGGTCAGTTAGAAGATTGTTTCTTTTTGCTAATTGCCAGTAAAATAAGAGAGATTCATTTTTTTTCTTTACCCAGAAGTTGGGTATTCTTTAACTCGGGGGTTCTTAACCCTGGTCCTCAGGGCCCACTATACTACATGTTTTTAGTGTTTTCCTGAATCCACACTCCTGACCTGAATGAAAAGGTGATCAACATGCTTTTGCAGCCAAGGAGGTAATACAATAATTTGAATCAGGTGTGCTTGAGTAGAGAAGCATCTAAAACATGAAAGGCAGTGGATCCTGAGGACCAGGGTTAATAAACCCTGCTTTAACAAACATCTATCAAGAGTTCAATGAAATGTTGGCCCTTGTTGGCCCTTTCAATGACATAAAGGGGTATAATTTAGTCAAGGTCATTGCATGCCTTCCTTGCACACTTTTACTACCCACAAAAAGACAAAAATATTACCTTGATAGTCAATAAGCTGTTTTGTAACTATTTAGCTTAGGGTGCCTGTCCATGAGAAAGACCAATTTGTCCCCAAGCTTCAACTTTCTGGTTGATAGTGTTCAAATGTTTCTTTTTTATGTTCTTTTCTTATCTATTAGGTGTAGTGCACTGGTTCCCTCTGCTGCAGAAAGCCCCATGCATCATAACTCTTCTATTCTTACACTTTATAGTAGGGTTGGTGACCCTAGGTTTGCAAGCTTTGTCCCCTATTCTTAAATTGTCATTATGGTCAAAAACCTCAATTTCAGTTTCCTCAGGCAACAAGGTTGGTTTCCCACGATTAAGGGACCTTTCTCAGAGGGCATTTTTAAAATGTACTTTGTCTTTTCACCATACATGGAGTAATGGCTTCTTCTTCATTGACTTGTCTTTCTCCCAAAGTAGGTGGAGGACTTTGTGTTCACTTCATTACTAGTGATATTCTCTTACAGAGGGGAGAAATGCATCTTTAAAAAACTTTTTTTGTCCTAAGTTTTATACTAGAAACAAAGCAGTTTCATCTCAGTGGTACAATAGTTGAATCCTTCCAGAATAGGTTGTTGGCTGGACATTTGCTATGCAACTGTTTGAAAAGATGAAAATAGTCCCTTCAGGACCCTGGGAATCGTATCCAAGGATAAACAATAAAAAATGACTGTGTTTGAGGTTTTGCTTTAAAATATATAAAAAAGCTGTGCTCCAAATAGTTTAAATGATTTGAATGAACATACCAGAAAGTTATAAGGCCAGGGGATCATGGGGCTTTACCAAGTTTTGAAAAGTACTATGTATAGTAGCTTTGTGCTTAGCACTAAATTTAAACAATTGTAAAACTAGGAAACAGAAAAAGGATTGTCTTAATTCATGTAAGTGATGAAAAAATGTGTGGTTTTAAAGAGTTTAAGCAAATATGTCTTTCAGCAGAGGAGTGTTATGTTTGTTTAGTTATCATAAAGCATTTTATTGCACATATATGCAGCTTGTTTAATCAGCAGAGCAAACTTTTGTTATTAAACAAATGTTGCAACTTTGTTTAAAAAATGAGAGCCCAAGGATTGTAAGTAGTTTTAGACTGAAGCCTTTTCTTTACTTTCTTTATTTCTTTATTTATTGAGGAAGTGTTTGTTCCTGAAGGTTGATTTTTTTTTGCTGTGTGTTAATTTTAGGAGTTCATTACCCTTCTCTGGCCAGCCTGTGTTCGCAGAAGGTGGTTGAGAGTGAGCGAGGCTTTCTCATGAGCACGGTGGGGAGCGGTTCCTATCTGGGGTGAGTCAAAAGTTTTGGTAATTAATGAATATTTGTAAGAAAACAAGTCTAATCTATAAAAGAAACCCCTAAAAAGTGTAAAGGAGAGTTACGTGGTCACAATGGGTATGCTTTAAGTGTCATTTGTGTTTGGAGAGACTTAGCTGATCCATTCACACCCAGATCTATAAAGCCAGTGATTGTGTCAACTCTGTTTAATACGTTACAACAGTGCTGCTGTTTGACTCTGTCCTGCATCCTTCTCCATGCATATTTTTTTTTTTAAGCACCCTTGTGATTGGAGGCGTTGGTTCACTCATGCTTGACGTGTATGGCTGGGAAAGTGTTTTCTTTGTCTCTGGACTCCTGTCAGTAACTTGGGCTTACTGCGTCTGGAAATATTTACTTAAAGGAGAAGGCAAGAAGAGCTTATTCTTCATTAACAGCCTTGCTACTTTTATTTTATACTTCTATCCTATTTTAAATTGATGACTTTTTCTTTATTTTGTGTTTTCAGGTCCTTTAATCACACTTGAATCCCTGGGTAATGGTGGGACTCAGTCAAAAATTAACAAAAGACATTGGGGACGACTCCTCAAACAACCTGCAGTCTGGTAAGGCAATGCTAAAGCCATCGTGTCTGCAAAAAACAACAAAGCGGATACTAAATTCAGTGCATACAGACCTTTTTTATGCTCTGCTCTAGTTACCCTAATATCCAGAACTCACATCATGAACCTACCTCTGATACAAGGCAAAATGAAAGAAAGTCCAGTTACTGTATGTTGCTTGTTCGCACATAGTGAAAATACAGTTTCTGTTATATTCTTTTTGGCTTTTACATCATTGCAAAGGATATTAAGCCAAAGAGTGTCTTTACATGCACAATTTAGACGTGTTGTTTTATCAGATGATGTTGAGACATTGAAGCTTAGAGACGCCATCAATCCTATAATCACCTGAGGGGTTTTGGATGGTTGCAGATAAAATCCAGTGATATACAAAGCTT